CACTTCAGAAACAATAAAAATGAGATTTAAACACAATGAAAAGTTAGCTACTAAGAAGTATAAGCTGCATTTGGACCAAGATTTGTTTGTTTTCTTAAATACTGTTGCCTTCTAACTACCATGAAGCCTGCTTCTATTTACTTCTAAAAGTTTTTCTTTCCCTTCTCTTCAGCGCACTCTTCGCTGCTGACCGGGTGTCATGCACACCCTGTGGGTCCTGGTTTCAGGAGTAAAGGGGTGAGTTTGGAGACTGTCTTCTTTCTGTTGGTCCCTTATGCTGCTCTTGGACCGTTCCAGATTCTGAAACTGCAAGTGATACTCTAACAGCACGTGCTACTTCGATCTCCTAGCTATGGCTGATTCCTTTCTAAAGGGCCAAGGAGGATGCTGGGAGACACTTGGTTCTTTGGTTAAGACATTCTATCCTTCTCACCTCTTAATACTAAGTTCAGACTTGCATTTGCTACTAATCTGGCTAATTGTATTCACTCGTTAAATTGACTAGTAAGTTCACCCAAATTAACAATCAATTTAACCTAAACTCTAATACATGTGTATTCTTTCCAATTGTCAGCTTCCATCTTACTCTTTTTCTTTTACAAATACTCCTACATTTTAGAGAAATAGGGTACAAAAATAAAAGACATTTGCTGGTTTCCTAACATTCTTAAGTTAACCAGCTGTCTATATATTAACCCATCGTACCTCTTTCCTCTCCAGTAGAAACTTGCTGGATAGAGCTGTAGCATGCAAGTACATGATACAGCAAATGAAGTTCTAACAAAAAAGTTAATAAATGTGTGTCAAAAAGAAAAAAACAGAGGAAAGGAAGTGAAACTATTACTATTTGCTAATAACATGATCGTACATATAGAAAACCCTAAAGAATCCATTAAAAAAAAGTTAGACTAGATCAATACATTCAGTAAAGTTACAGATTTTACAATTGACATGTAAATTATCAGTACTGTAAATTGACAGGAGTATCTCGGTACAGTAGCAATGAACTTTCCAAAAAGGAACTCAAAAGAACAATCCAATTTATAATAGCTATAAAAATAAAATGAAGTACTTAGAAATAAATTTATCAAGGAAGACCTATACACCAAAACGTCTAAAGCATTAATCAAAAAATGAAGACAAAGGGCTGGGGATTTGGCTCAGTGGTTCCGCCGCTCTCAGTGGTTCTGCCTCGCAAGCACAAGGGCCGGAGTCTGATCCCTGATGCCCAAAAAAAGAAGCCAGAGCTGGGCATTTAGCTTAGTAGTGCCACTGCCTGCCTCACAAGCACAAGGTCCAGAGTTTAATCCCCAGTATCAAAAAGAGAGAGAAAGAGAAAATATCCTATTATCATGAATGAGAAGATTAATATTATAAAATATCTATATTACCACAGTAATTTACAGATTCAGTACAATTTCTATTAAACTCACAGTGTCATTTGTATAGCTATAGAAAAAAATCTTAGAATTATATGAAAACACATATAGACACACACACACACACAATCAATACAATCTTGAAAAAGAATGAAGCAAGAGGTGTCACTCTCTTTGATTTCAAACTATACTGAAAAGCAATAGTAATTAAAATATCATGATAATGGCATGAAAAAATCAATTAATGGAATGCACTAAAAAGCATAAAGTGAAAGCATATATTTATTTTCAATGATTTTTTATCAAGATGCGAAAAACATACAAAGGGAAAAAGACCTTCTCTTCTTTAAAGGGTGATCAGAAAACTGGATAGCTATATGCAAAAGAATGAAATTGAACCGTTACCTTCTTACCCTATATATAAAAATCAACTCAAAATGGATAAAATCCTTAAACATAAAATATGATTATATAAAACTGCCAGAAGAAAAGATAGGGGGAAACTGTACAATATTGGTCTGGGTGGTATTGTACAGTCATTCCTGTAATCCCAGCACTCAGGAAGCTGAGACAGGAGGATGGCTGTGAGTTCAAGGTCAGCCTGAACTGCATAGTGAGACCCCTGTGTCAAAAAAGAAAAATGAAACAAACAAGGGCAAAGGACCTGAATAGATATGTCTCAAAAGAAGAAATACAAACAGATACATTTTAAAATGATCATCATCAATGGGGAGGGGAGGAGGAGGTGAAGGGAGGGCAGGGACAAGGGGAAAAAAATGAGAACCAAGACCTGTCATGCAAAGGTACAAGATCCCAATAATGAATGCTTGTATACCTAAAATGTACCAATAAACTCAATTTAATTTTTTAAAAATGAGATGTTAATCAAATGGTATAAAGCCTCAGTTTGAGAGGACCATATTTTCAACCTGTTGCACACCATAGTGAAAACAGCTAATAATTTAGTGATGTACACTTTTAACATCACAGAATAAATCTCTAACATTCTCATCAGAAAAAGTCAAACATTTGAGATAATGTTTAATTAACTTGACTTAATCATTTCATATCATACTCAAAAATCATAACATCACTTTGTACTCTGTGAATATAAGCAACTATAATTTTTTAAAAATAGAACAATCCAGATACTACTAGTTAGTGAGCATACAAAGATCAACAAAACCATTCAACTGAGTTTTTAAAATAAAAGGTAAAGCTCCAGTGTCTGCTACGTTTGCATTGAGCATTTGTACATCACACTACTATTTACACTGCAACAAGGTAGCTCATCTTAAACCTTTTATCATTTTTAACAGCTGCACTCTTTAAGGAAGTACCTTATCTCAATCTACCTCAATAAGCAGTAATAAATATACTGTGTCTTTCCCAGAAATATCTTCTCTGTTGGGCGTATTTTCTGGTTTAATTCTTATGGCTGCATGGAGGCTGCACTGTATTGTAAAGTAAGAAAACTCAATCACAGAAAGCTACCACTCAGGTCTGTCTCCCAAGACCACACTTCATTTCACCTCAACCCCCTACTGCCCAATCCATCAACTCCTTTTGTGGCGCTGCCTTCTGGCCACTAGAGTTTTTGCCTGGGTGATAGGGAGCAGATTTTCTTTTTTTCTTAGACACATCATTAGTGAGCTGGTATAGCTTGCCTTACATGCCACAGACAGTTGCCAAACAGAATTTCAACTCTTCCAAGAAGGTGGTGCTATATGTTTTTAAAACCCAAAGCAAATATCATTGTGTGCACTGCCAGTGGGCTCCGCTTTGTGAGCAAGATGAAAAGAAGTCCACTTCTCTCCAAGGATGGCAGCTTCTTTCCTTTTTCAGCACAGTACATGAGACAGCAAAGAGTCTGTAGCACTATTTATGGAAATCATTTATGATTGCTCTTGGACCTTCAGGCGTTCCGTTCTGTCTTAGCTTCGTTCACCACCTCCAGGAATCCTGTCAGCCTGACGCACTCAGGTTGGATGCATTAAAGCTTCGTTTTTATTGTCCTACTGGTATCTTATCACTGTTGCTACAATAAAGAGTTTTATTTCAGAACCAAACAATTATTTGCTAGTTTATGTTGGAGCTAGGAAATTGGTTTGTACCTCAACAAGCAGGGAAAATGAAGAAAAAAAAAAAAACAGTTTTGCTGCACCATTGCTTCCTGGAGGTAGGAAGGAACAGATAAGAATTAAAATGCCTGCCTTCCACCCAGAGAGTTGTTAAAATGGGTTTTGATTAAGCACAGAATCTTTTCAGAGGAGCTGCTAAAGTAATAGGCAAGGAAACAGTTAAGATAAATTGAGATTGAAAACCAAATATTCAAATTCAAAGGCTATATTTATATCTGCTGTGCATTCAGAAAGGAAGAGCAGCCACCTTCATTGCTTACATATTTAATAGTTTGCTGGATTCTTCTACTTGTGCTCAGTTATTCAAAAAGTAATTAATTAATCACTTTCTAGATACTATATACACTGCGTGGTACTGAGGAGTTCCCAGTCCTCTGACGGAGAAAGCCAAATAAACAGGTGATGACACAAGGTGATGACTATTCTGGAGGAGGTTTAATTAGGATTTTTTAGGATCTCACAGGAAGCATATCTAACTCTGCTTAGGAAATAGGGGCAAAAAAGATTTTCACGTGACTCCTAAATTGAGTCTTGAAGGATGTTTAGAAATTAGCTAGCACAGAATGAAAGAAAGGGGAAAGTAAATACAGTATTTAGGAATACATAAGTACTTCAAGATAACTAACAAAGCAAAATTCAGCCATGCTGTGGTCACATTGTTCATATAAAGACTGAATTTATTGCCCCTCCTGAATCCCAAGCCTTCTACTCTTCTTGAATTTGTATCTTGGTCCAATACTTTGGGTTCCCTTTTAATTTTTCTCTTTGCCTCACCCTGCCATTTAATCACTGAATTCTGCCTCTTTCAATTGCGCAGCATGTTTGATCTTAACCTCTTCCTTCCTGATTCAATTGCCAATACCCTAATCCAAGCCACGTGACCTATTCCTACACTCTGGCACCAGTCATCCTTGTTTTGTTTCACTAACACATTCTGCTGACATTAGCTTCCTTGAACTTGATCACAGTTCTTCTAAAGTATAAAGCTCATCCTCTAGGCCAATTACATAAGTGAACCATAATCTGCCCCCACTCTGATTTTCTACTCATAGGTCTATTATGTATCTATATAAACCCTCATTTCAGTCAAATGGTGCTCATTCTACTTCCCCACCTAGAGTCTTTGTTTCCAACATAATCCATGTTTAAAATTCCCCAAATGAATCCTGCATTAAGGTTTTGAGTAAGATTAAGAGATCATTCACCCTGTCCTCTCAGCCTAAGATAATCAAACTATGCTTATTTCTCCATCCTAAGAATCAGTATGATTTAATGTTTTAAAACAATTTTAGTGAAGAAAGGAAACTACTTACTTAGAACCTAAAAAATACGAAATTATTTACAGCTCTATGTGTTAAGTGTTACTTTGTCTATAAAGTTGAAAGTTGAAAGAAGGTAAAGATCACACACCTAATAGATATGAAACCAAGTCAACATAAGACAAAAAGTTTAATTTATCTTGATTGTACCTTAGTCTCCAGATCATCTTTTCTAATGCATATACCCCTACAAGTGACAGTATTCAGTCGACTATGTAGGAAAGCTGAATTTCACTTGTTGGTTTCTGCCTCGTCACTTGCAAGAGAAGATTTGGGAGTTTTCCTGGAAGGATACTTATCTGGAAAATGGTATTCACTCAGAAAGATGACTCTGGCTGTGTGTTGAAGTCAAAGCCTTTGGATATAAAGAACAGAGAGAATGAGAGTGCTAGTCATAGAGAAAGGAAAAAGGAAACCCAGAGAGCAGGAAAAAAAGGCAAGAAATATAATAATACATTATCCTTTCTCAAATTGAGCTTCTTACCAATCATAGCTATGGTGATAGGAACTTTCCAAAAAGTATTATGTATGGCACTTAACTTCTGAAGTTCTCAACAACAATGTGAACTAATCCTGTCATAAATTTGGCATAATCATATAGCAATAACATCACATAATAGGGAAGGCACCAAAGAGCTGAATTTCAGCCCTAGTCCAAAAATATTCTATATAATCTTAGAGGCTGCTGTATCAGCAATGGTAAGCAGGTGAAATGCTGTTATGGTATATATCTAGGTGTCCCCCCCAATGCCTCATGTGGTCATAGATGGGGCTTTTTGGAGGTGGCTGGATCTAAGGTGTGTGATGCTGGGATTAAAGGTGTGTGATTACTAAATTGGTCCGTGACTGATTTAACATTGTCCTGCATGTGGATAATGGGAAGGCCCACCCTGGGTGTAAATGGCAACACCACAAGGCAGATAGCCCGAGCAGATATAAAGGGACAGAAAGAAGGCAGGACTGCTGCTGCCACTTCTGCTGCTTGCTGCCTCTCTGCTTTGCTGCCTTCTGCCTGCCCTGCCATGCCATGGACTGTTTCTCCTCTGCAATGACCTTCTTCCATGCCACTCTACTTTGGAGCCAGCTGACTATGGAATGAAACCTCTACAACCTGTGAGCTGAAATAAGCCTTTCCTCCTTTCATTTTCTGTATTAGTTATTTTGTCTCTGCCATTAGAGAAGTAACTAAGACAAGTGCTACCTCATTTACCAGAACGAAATGTCTATACAAATGTAAACATCTTACTGGTTGTAACATTTGAAAACACATAAAGTATCTGATTATTATATCGAACAAACCATAATATAGACATAAAGTATCCACTCATGCTCTGTGTAACTATCTAGAAACCATTACAAACCCCCTTAGGAAAATCTCGATTTTACGTGGTGAGCCTTTAAAAGTATTTAACTGATATTTCCCAACCTCTAGAAGTGAGTAATTGTCAACTTATAATATAGAACCCAAAGTAGATTTAAAGGTCACCCAGTCACCCATAAGGTGTGTGACGATAACAACATTCTCAGTTTGAATGATCAGACCCAAGTGTGTTATTATCTACAGGTGGAGCACACTTGTGTTTTTCCCCCATCTCTCTGCATCCTTCCTTTAAAAAGCACTGAAGCATATAATTACTTGATTTTTCACACAAATGGCCAATTGTCTCAAATAACAGGGAGATGAGACAAATTTAATTCTGAGAGCACAATTTCTATGCCTGTCATTGGAAATGTATCCATTTGACTTATTTTTGTTCGATTCAGGTGAACACATTTTAAAAAGTTAAATGAGTCTGATTTGCTTATTTTAAAAAAAAAAAAAAACTCTGTTTACTGATGAGCCTATATTTGTGCTATGTTTTAGACTCGTCCTGAACCACTGTGTTGGAATAGAATCAGGCTAGCAACAATGACAGTGAGTAAGTTTAAAGGGTGTTCTTTCATAGATCTCTAGGATGAAACTTGTCATTACTAACTCTAAGTTCCAAGTAAAGCAGATAAGGGCAATATTTAGGAAATACTTTCACTGCACTCATGTTGAAGGTCCCTGGGTTGTGCATGTTTAATAAATCTTCCCAAATGACATATGCATAAGGTATAATGCTGGGAGATGAATCAGCTTCTTTACAGTTCAGATTCTCTAGCAACAGAAATATTCTAATGCCAACACTTAAAAGCTATTAGAAATAGTGAAATAAATCCTTACTCTAAAAGGAATCTTAGTGACACTACATATAATTTGTTGACACCAAATGTCATTATGCCTTCCCTAGGCATTTATTTTTCATTACCCTGTATCTCATATTACCCTGCAAGAAAATATTGACAAGTGAGAAATTCATCAGTTCTTAACTTTGACAAATTCTACTAATATGATCTTTAACGATAGAGACATACATCCCTAGGTTCAAAACACAGATCTTTCTCAATTATTTACTACATAACATATTAGAAGTCCTCTAACTTCACTAACCCTTATATGTGATGTATAAAATGAGGATAATTATACCCACCTACCTCATAGGATTCGTAGGAGCACAACACTGTATTTAAAGTTGCAGTGTCTGAGGCTCATCTATCTGAATTTGTGTCCAGTGTGAAAACCACTTGGCTGTGTGACCTTAGACAAGTACACAACTATGCTCTTCACCAAGCCTACCATTTATAACACCAGTCTCCTAGGATTTGTGCATGATTAACTGACATAAATAAGATAATTAAAGCCATTGGGTTTAACAAATAAACTTACAATATGCTCGATTAAATTTGAATTCCAAGAGGGAAAAGAAACAAATTTTCATCTCATGCTTATACTGAAGAATATTTGCTTTTCATCAGAAATTTAAACTTAATTAGGCATCCTGTATTTTATTTATCTTGGACCATCTTACTGCAATACATATTATTGTATAACATTTATTATAAAATTAATTATGTCACAAAGAAAACATCCCTTCCTCAGAAAACTATGAGGTTGCAAGAAAAAACTGATCTTCTTAAAGAAAACAAGTAAACAGAGAATAGATAAGCAAAAGATATACAAGGTAGTTTGGTTTCATCTGCTAATCCTGATGAAAATGTAAATAATGTCACAGACAATCCTATTTTCTACATGTAGGAAAATGTCATTATATACTGAATCTCATATATATGAATTATATATATACATTATGAATAAGATCATATTTAAATTCATGAGTACGGGAGTAAGTAAGCACACACAAACTGCTCGATAAATAAGAAGCATTGATAGAATTTTGCTATTCACTGTGCCTCTCTTTTTAGTCTTGTTCCCAAGAGGCCTTGGTTTGAATGTAAATTTCAAATAAAAGTTGTCTCAATAATATTTTCACCCTTCATACTAAAATAATCAGGCCTTGTTTTTCTAATTAGCTATTTATTCAACTAATGCCAGCCATTTGTTAGCTTGTTACCAGGTGCTAGCCACAGCAACAGGCTCAGAAAGCATGAAAAGGCCAACTCACTAAAGTTAGGAGTGTTCTTCTCAAAAGGAGACCCCCTCCTCTCCAAATTTATGGTTAAGAGTAAATATAAAGTTAAATTACTCTCTCCCATGTCAAGTACCTTAAAGTTACATGTTTAGAAAATCAAACTGCCATTCTTAGTACTATTTACATTATTTGTGCCAATTATGTAGATAAAACTAAGCCATCTTACATATCGTCCGTTTTACCTGTGTTCTTAAAGAAACACAATTTTATATCTCACTGAGCAAGTAATATTTTCTTTAAGATATTGTTAATTTTGTAGCAAATATTAGTCAATTAAATATTACATAATAAGTATGTTGTAGTTAGTACAATATGCCTCTCAGACAATAATCAAAATCCTTTATTACTAAAAATGATTCTGGCTATCTAAAGATACACTCAAAATGACAGTATCTCACAACATTTTATCTGTTGGTACCATCAAAATAGTTCTGACTTGACTGGAAAACCAAAGGTTAATTATATGCTCATTACCTGAATTTTTTTTTACAAGTTTTACGACTTACTGTGCACTTGCTAAAGTGGGCAGAACACCAAAATCTTACTGCATACAATCTGTGGTCCTTATCTGTTCCGAAATTTCCAAATGAATAAGACAGATGAAGCACTGTGTGATGACCTTCTCACACAGTATGGATACTGGAAAATTCTTAAAAGAAATTTAAGAGTCAGAGACTTACTTGGGTTACACACAGTTCCACAGCTGCCATAGCAGGGTCACACTACAGGTGGCTCTCAGTGGGCTGTTCATAGGCGGACAGTTAATTTGTGGCAGAGTCTGACCTCTGGACTCCGAAAGCGCAGAGTTTTTGCTTTCTGGCTCCGACATCTGTGGCAATGGAATTGTAGAAATGAGCATTTCTGTATGATAGTACTATAAGTCCTACTATCACCAAGCAACCACCCTCATGGAAAACAGCTATCAAAATTGTAGTTGGAATACACTGCTTCTAAAATGCAAGCATTTCTTCTCATCTCAGGCAATAGTATCCGGATCTCAATACTGTTGGACCTACAGTTCTCAGAGTGAAAGATGATTCGTACCATAGGGTGAATGCTGAAATGTGTTCTAGAGAGCTTGACAGTATCGTTGAGCCTTTCTGGTCAACCAGGGAATGGTAATAGTCTGCCACAAGCTTGAGGAAATGTTTGAACTAGTGGATTTATTCCAAATATGGGATATTCATAAGGAGACGCCAAATATTCTACTTAAGATGAAATGTTTCCAGGCAAAGGACACTGCTCATTACAATATTAACTGAGTGCAGTCCCCTCAGAACTGGGTGCAGAGAGGCCAGGCTGGGTACAGGAAGGAAGAATACAAACAGTGAGGAGGCATGGTGCCAAGGAGTCAGACGGCCAACAGTGGATCGTCCTGTGAAGGGAAGTAGTGAAGAGACTAAGAAAACTAATGAGAACTTGTGATGCTCTGGTACCCTCATCCTTGGCCTTCCTTAAAGCACTAAACAGAGCGCAGAATGGATGGGGGCCCTGTAGCAACAGACAGCCAAAAGTGATTTTCAGGGAAACCCAACAGCGGCGCTGGACAGAGGAGCAACATCTAAAGTATGTCTGCGGAACGTCACATTGCTCCCCGATGACTTTCGTAACTATTCCAGACCAGAGCCCTTGTGTTCATGCAGATTAAAGGCACTTGGAACTTGAGGAAAAGCAACCTCGTCTCTTGCTATCCCCACCTCCCCCTGAAAAGGCGGAGACTTTGGAAATATCTATCTTTGATTTACCTCCCAAAATCACTTCGCCAAGAAAGCATTTACATCCAAAGGAGCACTGTATGCTCTCCTATGAATTCCACCTTCTCTTTATTCTACTCACAAACTCAATCATTTCTGCTGTTTCTAAATTACCACTTTTGTTCTGTTACATGGTTAAAAATGATTTCACTCTGCGATGCCTTCATTTATTCTGATATGATTGTTGGAACTGTTTCCAATCAATGTACACCACGTTTTGTTTCAGCCTTTTTTCCAGAATGGAGGGCAGTAGGAAAGGCAGGAAGGAGCAGGTGCATGGGGAAAAGTCCCAAATGTATTCAAAACTGAAACAAAAATGAAGCAAAATATGCACTCCCAGATTTTTGCATTTTTAATACTCCCATTCAAGAGAAGAGCAATGTTTTTGATGTACCATTTGCTTAGACTCCTTTCACTACTTGTCTTGCATAGCAAGTTTTCTTCCTTCCTTCTTCTTCTCCCACAGAAGTGCTACAGTCTGTTTAGTGGTCCTCCAGGATCCTCTATAATACACCGTGCTGCCTACCAACGAGCTTCAGGGTAATAATCACTAGATGAATTGCCCAGGCTACAGATGTTTCACTAATTATCTTTTCATCATAACGCTGTGCAATCCCACTTGTGTTCCTCCTGCAACCTCGCTCATTACAATAATAATGCCCAGTTCCCTTTCTATAGCATCTCCATTCTGTAGGACTCCAGCGTGCTCAAGAAAAACAGGAATTGCTCCCTATTTCCCCTGAAAGTAGTCATACATTCCTGATGCTGTCAAGGAGCTTCTCACATAGTTAGGGGAAAAGACACATAAAGCAGTGAGCATTATAAAACATGCAACCTGGAGATAACTGAGGCAGCACAGTGCCCATGTTTTGTGTCACATTCATTCAAAAGAAAGCACGGACCTAAAGAATATTTGAAAGTAATTCCAATTCCTATGTGAACTAGTGAAAAATGATCTAATCGCAAAGTATGTACAGGCTGAGCAACTTCTTGAAGAATACCCTCCAACATGTTTCATTATCTGCTTATTCATGTTTACTGCTCACTCTTGCCCCCTCCTACAAGCACACAAGCTCTGTCAAAGCAGGGAGCTGTCTCTATTCACTGGGGAATCACAGGAATCCAGGTGGTGCTGGCTCACAACACTAAGTATATATTGGATGAATGAATAATTACCATACATTTTATACCCTGCTTTCCGACTAGGAGTTTCACTGCTCCTCAGAACTCACCACAAAAAGTTCCCCAAGACTAGCCTTCAGCTGGCTAGCCTTGCTGAATCACAGATATAATAAAGCTATTTTATGTTCTCCTCTAGACAGCTTGGGTGCTTAAAAGGAGCCAAGGAATTTCTTCTGCAACTCTTCCAGAATTCTTGCTTCCAACCACTTGATTTATACCTACAGAATAGAGCATGTATCACTGTAATTTCTTAAGTGTTAATTTGAGTCGCCTTCACCAATAGAAGGTCATGGTCTTCATATGCTTTGTTCAATTTGGCACAGCCACTCAATGCACACCTTTGAAACAAAAAAGTTGCTCAATAGTTGTGGAAAAAATTAATGAGGGAATAAGTTGTATTCATACTGGGACAAATTTTTAGGACCTAGAGATTCTCACATTCTTCAAGAAATTAGCTCTCGATCCAAATATGCAATTCCTTTGAATAAAGTAGAAGAGGGGGATGATACACTTCAAATAAGAATAATCATATTCTTTCTAGTATCGCTCGGTCTTAATTTTCTTGGATGTCAGGCTTTTATCTAGATGAAAGTGAAGAAGAAGTGAAGCTTTTGCTTACCCAACAAAATTTTCTAAAGTATAGAACATAAAAAACCCAATCTACATACAATTCGGCATATGGGATTCTTGTCATTTTCCCATACTGTACAAGTGTATAATAAGATGTGTGAATATACACATCAGTTACAAATGAATAAAAGGTGTTTCAGTCTTTGGGTCTCAGACTGTGGCTTTACTGGTTTTATAAGCAAAACAAATACTTGTTTGATATTAAAGGGTAATGTACCATAACATCACAATTCTTCCTCACTCTTTCAGGCCATAAATCAAACAGGAAAATCAAGCAGAACCCTTCCTCAGCCTGACTGGCTATTCCAGGGTCTCAGGGCCAGTAGTATTTTCCTTAATCAAAGAGAAAGGAGGAAAGTACAGGAGGTTTTAGTTTCCTTTAGAAAAGATAAATTCCTATAAAAGAAGTGCAAAGCAGGTAGCAGTTGAGAGCCAACAAATGCAGATGATCCAAGCAAAGTAAACACAAAAAAAATAAGCTTTAGGAGACTAGGGAAGAATTTTTTTTTAACTTACAGAGATTCACCGGTTATCAAATATCAATTATTATAACTTGATATTTGAGGAAATAAATCAGAACTCAGCAATATAAGGTAGAAATCACTAGGGTGCATTACGCAGAGCAGATGATAAAATTGTGTATGCATTTTAATGAAAGCACTTTCTAAAACCTTTGTAATCAATGAATTCCTCTCCAGTAGATTGCCTCATATTCTCAAAGTTCACCTCTCCTTCTATACTCCTAATACTCCTGTTTATTTATTTACATAAAATACCGAGTATTGAACCCAGCACTTTCACATCAAATTGCATCCCCACTCTTTTTTCTTTATTATTTTGAAATGAAGTCTTGCTAAATCATTACATTGTCCAGATTGGGCTCCAAGTTGCAACTCTCTCACCTCAGCCTCCCAGAGTGCTGAGACTACAGGAGTTCACCACCATGCCCTGCTTATCCACCCTTTTAAAAATTATGATGCTATGCATAGGTCCTCTCCCTAGATAGTATATTTCCCTGACCCTCTGATGATGAGCTTGGCCAAATGGACAAATTTGATTTGCTCCAAAGAATGTGAACCAAAATGGCAGTGTTTCTATTCTAATCCAGGCTCTAAGGGGCACTGTGTGTTTCTACTTGCCTTTCTTCAATTTCTGCCACCAACATGAGAAGAGTCTGCCTTGACTTTCCAGTTGGACCAAAGAGGATGAGAAAAATACAGAGCTGACTTTGTTCTAATGCGTAGTTGGGATATAAACCTCACTTATCTTAACCCTGACCAGCCAAAACCCAGTCAATTACAATTGTAGAACTATTAATAAAGTGATGTGAACAATAATTTTACCCTTAATTTAGACTCTAAAAACCTTTAATAAATGATTACATTTTGTTTTTTTAACTAGATTCCCTGCCAAAAATAATGAAGGAAAGAAATTTGTAGCAAGGTGAGAATAGGTTTGAAAGAGCTAAAGCATATATGAATAAAAGAACAGCCAAAGGCTGTAGGACAAAGGAAAGTGTATATCTACCTATGAATTTTAGTAAACACACCTTAAGGGAAAAAGATAATTTTGTGACTCAGTAGAGTATTTACATGCATTCTGGCTATAATTTGTAATCTGATATGACTGAATGATTACTGAGAATTCTTATTTCTTTCAGAAAAAAAACATTTGTTGATTTTCACAATTGTACTTCTGGAAAAAACGTTAGACAAATGGATTTAGAGACAATTGAACAGATTTACTATATAGAAATTATCTTAGTTGGTTCAGGCTGCTAAAACAAAATACTGTAAACTGGCTAGTTTATGAACAATAGAAATTGATTTCTCACTGTTTTGGAAACTGAGAAGTCTAAAATCAAGATGCTCACAGATTTGGTGTCTGGTGAGGGACTGTTTCCTAGGTCATGGAAACACAACTGGATCCTTCCAGCTGTGTCCTTCCACGGTACAAGGGAAACTCTAGACTCTCCAGCCTAACCTCCTTCGTGAGGCTACACCCTCATGACCTAAACACTTCCCAAAGGTGGCACTTCCTCATATTGTCACACCAGGGATCAAGCTACAGCACAATTTTGAGGAGACACAAACATTGAGAATATAGCAGATACTAAAACTATAACTGCTGTAAGAATATTTGGCAATCTCAGGAATTAAGATGATCAGATGGTTATAATCATGCAAACACAAAGCTCATTTCCTAACAGGATAGCAAAACATAAGCTGCTCCCGCAAGTCTCCACCTTCTTAGAGGATGAGTA